ATGTACTAAAAGTTAGATTTTTTTAGACCATATTATTCAGATAAACAACATACATACTGTATAGCAGTATCTACTGGGAGAACAAATAAGCTACCGAACTAGTGCTGTGACGTGAGTGGTCGCATCCCAGAGCAGCACATCACCTCGTGATCCATTTGCCGCGTGAGCCTCGCTCTGTGCTCAGTCCACAGTGTTCTCAACACATGAATATCATCAACTGTGATTCACAGAGACAGGGTCACTCAGGGCTACACAGCCAAACAGGCACAAGGTGTGCTTTAATGACTCCTACCTTGTCAAGAGAAATCCCCCAGCTGGCCAGGCGTAACAAACCTCTCATGACGGGGTCAGTCAACCTTCCAGGCGAGGACAAGCGCATCTCGACGCGTTGACTCAGTGCTATGAGCGCCAAGCAAAGCCCTCACCGTCAGACCAACAGGCACCTGCTGTGTTTTCAAGCTTGGATGAAAAATATTTTCAATTTCCTCTGGGTCATAACAAACACTTGGCTAGACACTTGAATCAAAGAGGGTAGTCTAAACTGACTTTGATGCTTCAAATTTGAATCTGTATCATATTTTTTTACATAAACTGAATTATGATAGAATTAAAGTTGCACGCCATTTGCCTTATTTTAATTTATCAGTCAATAACATATACGTCAATAAATAATTCTAAGCCACAAACCAAATGAATCAGCTCCAAGACGAATCACACCATTATTTTTGTTCAGGATTTTAGGGTATTATTTAAATAATTGTTTTTTTTAATTCAGCCATTAAATTGATCTAAAGTCACAGTAAAACACATTTATATTGATATAAAAGTTTTCTATTTTAAATAAATGATGTTCTTTTGAACTTTCTGTTCATCGAAGGATCCTGAAAAAAATGATCACCTTCCACAAATTTTTTTAAGCAGCACAACAGTTTTCAACATTGATAATAATAAGAAATGCTTCTTGAGCACCAAGTCAGCATATTAGAATGATTTCTGAAGGATCATGTGACACTGAAGACTGGTGTAGTGATGCTGAAAATTCAGCTTTGCCATCACAGGAATAAATTACATTTTAAAACATATTAAAATAGAAAACAGTTATTAGAAATTGTAATACTATTTCACAATATTGCTGTTTTTACTGTATTTTTGATTAAATTAACACAGCCTTGATGAGCATAAGAGACGACTTATCCAAAAAAAAAAATCTTACTGACCCCATTGATTGTCAATCACAATGCTTCATAGTAGACGACAGTCACTGCTGTGTTCTTTTATCCTGATTAGTTTGCTGTGATTCTCTGATTGGTGGAGCTAATTATCTTCAGGATAATTATTGTGTACTTCATCACCTGGAACTTTGCATATAAATATTTATAAATATATTCTTAATGAAAAACGTTTTAAACTGACTGATAGAGCTCATAATAGGTCTCTTTTGAAAGGGTTCTATGAAATCATTAAAAATCAGTTTCTCAATGGAGAATGGGATTTTTAATTGCAGAGACCTCATTAGCCATGTATCCACTGTCGGGACAAAAGTGAGCGTGCTAGTGTGTGCCAGGGCCAGTCGCATTTCCATTGTCACTTCCGGGGCTTCCTCAGGGGCAATGGCCAAGAGGTTTTGGCCCGCCAAATACCTTGGTCTAAAGCCAGCCAACTGGGGCTTGAGGAGTGGTCATAAACAAAGGCAGAGTTTACCTGAGTAAGGAGAGGGTCAACACCGCTGTGCAATGTTATTATTCCAGGCTACCAGCTAACTTCAACATTTAGGCCTAAGACATTTTAAAACAATTTTGTTGCTAAAAACGTCTATAGATATAGAGACCACACTCGTTATGCGCTACTGTTGCTCTCACGGAACAGATATGCTTATTTAACTTTTTAGTGTTAAATAAAAAGTACCGTCAGATGAAATCCTGCAGGTGTCAGTGCTTTCTCTCCGTCCATGCAATAGATGCACACCCTTGAATGAGTGCGGATTTCTAGTGCATTTACTTGAACTTCTGAGGTAAGTTAATACCTTTGGTTTAACCTATTTGAGAAATTGAGAGGTGGCCAAAATCAGATTTTAACCCACGTCACGCCTCTTTGCCCATTTTATTTTATCCGGGAGTGACGAGAGGTGACACGCTGCCAAGATGGCGATGGCCGGCCTCGCCCACTTTAGGCTTCAAAAACGCTCTTCAGAAACCTACGAGTGACGTCACGGACACTACATAATAAGCATGTGCGTGACGCCATCGTCTTCAGAGATTCGCGTGTTTGTTGTTTACAGGGAGACCGTTTTCAAAAACGTGCACTTTGAAACCCGTTTTTAAAACTTGCGTTTTCAGGCATCCAAAAGTGACGTCACGGACACTACATAATAAGCATGTGCGTGACGCCATCGTCTTCAGAGATTCGCGTGTTTGTTGTTTACAGGGAGACCGTTTTCAAAAACGTGCACTTTGAAACCCGTTTTTAAAACTTGCGTTTTCAGGCATCCAAAATGCTCTTGTCGTGTAAATGAATGGACAAAACTTACAAAAAGTTGTGCGTTTTTAGTTGAAAACGGTGTCATGTAAACAGTCCCTAATGCCGAGTTCACACTGAAGGAATTTAGGCCCAATTTTCGCTCACCGACAGGTTTGGGGAGTTCGCCGACAAATGCCCGAAATCATAGGCAAATCGGTGCTCGTTCACGCGAGTGACAATCACGCAGTGTGAATTATCAAAGATGCGATCAGATTGAGTCGCCAACGCATGTGAGATATTTGGAATGCTAATCTGGACCTAACTCCATAAATCCTAAATCCAGAATATCATTATTTTAATAGATATATTTTTACAATTATATCAAACAGAAACAATTATAAGCACACACATTTGCTTGACCAGCAGCACATTTATTCATTTACCCCCAACTCTCTTTGCAGAACACACAATCCTTGCTCTCGTCTCCCCAACCATTTCCTCCTGCATAAGCTGTTTTTCTTTTTCTCCTTTTCGCTGCAAATCAGTGCACATACAATTTGGATCACAAGTTTTTTGCAGGCTATCATTTTTAATAACAATTTCAGTCTCGCACAAGAACTCGGTCTCACGCACGCGTGATCTTGCGTTATTTCCTTATCACTTCTCGCGTGTTTGGTTGTGAAACGTAGTTTACGGACCAGACAGAAGTTGTCGGTGATTATTTCTTTTGTAAAGTCATGCAGTGTGAAACCTCCTGTCGCCAATCCATCATCCAGTGTGAACACAGCAGCTGAATGTTAACCCAAATAGTCACGCAGTGTGAAAAGAACAGTGACCCGACTACTTTGAAAATCGTGCAGTGTGAACTCGGAATAAGGCTACAGGCAGGTGAGTTTCTTTCAGGGTTGGCAGGACAGTTCTCTCTAGGACCGAAGTTGCCTACCCCTAACCATTGCGATAATACACACATATGTGTATGGAACATTCCAGAGACTGCTTGAAGAATGTAGACAAATCATACATGATTAAAATCGAGTATTTAATTGGTTTCATGTTTCATCTGTCTCTTCCCTGTGCCATACCGGACAAATGCATCCGCATTTCATAAATTGCATGCACTTTTACATACCGGTTTACTCATAAAACTCACAGGCTAACTCCTGTTTTCTTCTCATGAGCTCCCTCTGTTGCTCTTGCTGAAGGGATAACAGGATAGTGAGACAGGAGGAATCGCTCAAACATTGCATTATTTCGTGGAAATAGAAATGCTCACTCTTTCTGAAGAAATGTGATGTGGTTAACATATGATATGTTATCAATATTTTTCTAAATGTGTAAGCCTTTGGACTTAAAAGCCTTAATGGGGTTGTTTTGTGCATGCTTGTGATGGCAAATAAATGGAAGCAGGTGTAACTGAATGGGTGTTCTCGTTTCATGTGAAATGGTAATTATCAGTTTGATTCAGCATGATTGTTGTGCACGTCTGGCACAGATTACTGTCACTGTAACATTTTTATTGTAAAACATTTGTCAAATATCAATGCTGGAATCTTAAGTCTTTAGACTAAACGTTCACTTCTGGCATGCTCATTTTGGGATCTATTATCTAGTTTTCAGTCAGCTGTTGAAACGGTGGGGTTGTGTGATGTTTTTTTCTGTGATGGAGGCGTGGTAAGGGCAGGTTTTAGGTTAGCACTGTGGGGCTACCGCCCCGGAAACACCTTGATTTTGGGCTCAGTGCTTGAGGTTCAAAGGCTATTGGCCCTGCCCGACACGTTTGCTAGCTTTGGCTCGCACTGGCTATCTACAATGGCTATCTCGCTCTGCCTATCTACAATGACATTGGGAAATAAAAGCTTTTGCTTTGGCCTGAGTAGCTTGAGTGAGTGGTCAGCAAGAAGTCTTTTGGCAGAAACTTTTATACAAAGCGACTTAGAGTACACTTAGGGCCAAACAATCCTCCTGGAATGACTTGGTATCAAGTACCTTGCTAAAAAAAACAACTTGTGGGTCTTTTTTAAAAGGGAAAACACTGGGAATATTTTAGCCTAAAGCTTTATCTTAAGGCTATATTACCACTTAACCAATAATTCCTCAGTTAGGATGAAATTAAATGTATAGTTAATTCTGCTAATTAAAGTTATTGGCAGAAACATACCTATTGAGATTAAAACACTGAATAAAAACAGCCTGAGGTGTTGAGCATTCTAGTTTTGTTTGGACTCCAGCTACGTCAGAGGCTCTTCTCAGAAAGGTAATGCTTTTCCCAGGAGTAACTCATGTTAGCTTGTTATCCCCTTAACCAGAACCACTTTTTTCTGTACTTATTTCCACTTCAAAGGGATCCATTTTTCTACTTAATTCTGGAATTAGGCCAGTGTCTGTACCTCATGAATTCATAATATTCTGTCATGGAGAAATGTTGGAATGGCAGGTTATGATCCCTGAGAGCATGAGTGTGATTATCACTGATTATCTAAGAATTGTTTATAGCCTCCACTAAATCTGCATTATAGATACTTTGATGGTCTCTCGGTTTTCAGACAACACAGCTGGAGTGGCGACCAGGCGAGGGGGGTTTCGGAGGCTAGAGCAGAGCATGTACCTGGTACCGGTCGTCGTGGAGGATAGCGGGTACCCGATACAAAGCAGCACTGGGACGGTGTCTGTGCGGGTGTGTACCTGCGACACAGACGGCTCCCTCCTTTCCTGCAATGCGGAAGCCGTGTTCTTTCCCATGGGACTCAGCACTGGAGCTCTGATGGCCATACTGCTGTGCATTGTCATTCTGCTGGGTGAGTTATACACGTTTGTGTCCAACAGAATACTGGATTATGGCAAGACAAAGAATAATGCATTTAATGTGCTAAATAGAGAAGACATAAAAAAAAAACAGGGGTTACGTTTTTGTAATCAATATTGTTTTTATTTATCATTTTATTTGGCCCAAGGATACCGAAAATCATGGAAACAAAACAAAGTATATAAAATCAAAAAGTAAATATTATAAGTATGGGTATTTCTTCAACTTCTGTGACTTTTATCTCCTAGAGGTGGATTTTTATTACAACTATAGCTGATTCTTTCACAAAGAACTTACATGACTTATATGCCTTTATACAGTATATACATTACCGTTCAAAAGTTTGAGGTTGGTAAGATTCTGTCTCTCATGCTTACCCAGGCTGAATTTATTTGCTCAAAAGTATAGCAGATATTATGTGTAATATTATTCAAGTTGAAAATTTTCTATTGTATTATATTTTAAAATGTAATTTATTCTTGTGTTGGCAAAGCTGCATTTTCAGCATCATTGCTCTAGTCTTCAGGGTCACATGATCCTTCAGAAATCATTCTAATGTGCTGGTTTGGTGCTCAAGAAACATTTCTTCTTATTAGTATTATTAATGTTGAAAATATTGTACTGCTTAATATTTTTGTGGAAACTATGATAGAAAAAAATTCAGGATTGCCTAAATAAATAATAAAAAAAACAGCATTAGTGTAGAGATTGTATACTCTTTTTCATATAACTTGTTAAGAGATTACTTGTATTGTACTTCATTTAAACCCTTTTGGAATTTCTGTTTTTTTTTTTTTTTTCATTAATAACAGCATGCTATTAATAACAGATGCGAGATGTGGAAATGTTAATGACTTTCAGAAAAAAATACAATTGTTTTGTTATGTATGTAAACACACTGTAGGACATTGTTAGTGGACAAATTAAATAAAACAGTGAGGATATGAAAGTATGGTTTTTGAGCCAAAGTGCCCATAGTTAAAGAAACACCATATATAAACATAAGTATGCACTACATTAAAGGACAACTCCGGCGCAAAATGAACCTTTGGTCTAATAACACATTGGTACCTAGTCGACCGTTCTCTGTATTTGTTTTCATGATAATCGAATATAAAGAGTTGTATCTCTAAAAACTGTTTAGCGTATAACGCTATATAGGGCATAGAGTATTGAAAAATAAAAATCGCTAGTTAATACCACTAACAAGGCTCAAAATAGCCCCACACTAACACGGTAACATAATGAGGGTCCCCACATGCAAAACGAAGCATTGAGAACTTTGTAAGTGTACAGACAGTTTAATAAGAAGATATTTTATAAAGACAGTCCACTTCGCGTATACAGGCAGGAGCCATCTTTGGAAAACAGTCTCGACCAGTCAAACCACGAACACGGAATTACGTTTGTGAAATCTAATTACATGGAAATGTATGAATTATATCTGTTTAAAGTCTGCACTGGCTGGGGAGAGGGAGGGCAAGAGGTTTATCGGTCATTCATGCAGATCAATGAGCAAGACTTACAGCTGGCGATGCAAACTAAAATCACGCAATATTTGCTCTATATATCAGAAATAATTGCACCGATTTAAAACATAACTTGTCTAGTGCACTTACTCAGTGGATAACTGTCCATATGGTCCCTCCGATATCGGGTCGCCGCCTCCAATTTATTTTCGGGACATGGAAAAAAGATTCAAGTACAGCCTTGTTTATCAGAGCGGGGGAATCTTCAGACTGTACAAAACAATGCGTCTCTTGGTTGTCGCGACTCAACAGGTCCCGCTCCGTGCAACACAGGCACTCCTGTTCGGTGTCCATAGCTTCACAATGTCCGCAGGTACACCACCAGTTTCCCGAAGTACGAGGCTGTGTTGCGGCATTGACCACCGGTAGCTTTCTCGCTCTCGTAGCCCTTTCACAGAGCTCCTACAGCTCTTCATCAGTATATTCCGGCTCGAAAAGATAAGACCGTCCATCAAACATAAACGGTTCGTCGGTTGAATAATCCGCCATCTCTTTAGTGTCTACTTTAAGTCTCCTTTTTTTATTATTATTATTATTTTCTCTCTTGCGTTCAGTGCTTCTCTTATGCGCTCAGTGCTTTCTTCCGGAAACAATGGACCATTTGAGATTACAAGTCACAGTTCAGCTCACTTGGCACGGTGTTCGTGGTTTGACTGGTCGAGACTGTTTTCCAAAGATGGCTCCTGCCTGTATATGTGAAGTGGACTGTCTTTATGAAATATCTTCTTATTAAACTGTCTGTACACTTACAAAGTTCTCAAGGCTTCGTTTTGCATGTGGGGACCCTCATTATGTTACCGTGTTAGTGTGGGGCTATTTTGAGCCTTGTTAGTGGTATTAACTAGCGATTTTTCATTACTCCATGCCCTATATAGCGTTATACGCTAAACAGTTTTTAGAGATAAAACTCTTTACATTTGATTATCATAAAAACAAATCTCAGAGAACGGTCGACTAGGTACCAATGTGTTATTAGACCAAAGGTTCATTTTGCGCCGGAGTTGTCCTTTAAGTACGGAATGTGGCAGGTTATGATCCCTAAAATAAAGAATAAAAAAAAATGGAACAGGAGTAACGAGAAACGCCTGAGGAAGAATTGAAATAAAAGCACTGTATTGCAATAAGTACTAGGCAAGTGAATTCTGTAGCAGACAGTGCAGTGAAGTGATGTGCTTTGACTTCATATTTTCATTTGGCAGCATTACAGAAAAAAAAAAGATTCCTTTATATGGCAACCACTTGGGGGAGCTGATGCAGAAATAATGATTCGAATGTGATAATAAATAGTATGTTCCTAAAGACTGGAAAATAACAACATGAGAAAACCTTCCCCTAATAACACATGCAGGTTGATTTGTCCAAATTTTCCCTTCTGCTTCATCTGAAAGTCTGAATTTCTAGGTATAATCTATCATTCTCACAGCAGCGCCTGTGCCTACCCGTCTCTTTCTCTCTCACATCTTTCTTTGAGCAGAGTGGGGCAAGCGAGTACTGTCTGCCTCAGAGGAGGGAGATGAAAGCTCAGAAAAAACTACCTCCCCTCCTCTCACACAACCGAGGCACTACGATGTTGACAGACAGCATGTCAAAACTGCATTATGGCTACCCTCGGGCTGCCGTTCTCTTTAGTCTCATTTTGAAAACCGACGTCAAAAAACAAAAAACAAAAAAAAAAATCAGCTAATGGCTCTGGAACATGTGACCACCCCTCTTTTTCTCTAGTCTGTTGTCCCTCAAAGGTCCTGTACTGTATGTATGTCAATGTGCATTACGCCAGAAAACAAGTTATGCGCCTCTGGTGTCTTGCAGTGATGGTGGTGCTCTATATGGGCCTGAGAAAACACAAGAAGGAGGACACTCTGATGTCGTCCAAAGAGGACGTTCGGGACAATGTGATCCACTACGACGATGAGGGGGGCGGGGAAGAGGACACCCAGGCCTTCGACATAGGTACGTTACGCAATCCCAAAGGCATCAAAGAGACGGCTCAGCTGCAAAAAATAAGATCAGAGGACGAGCCTGATCTGGCTAGTGCGTGCGTGTCCAAAGAGGACAGCGAGGACATCAGAACCTACATCCATCATTGTCTTCTAGAGAACTCCACACCTCCGTATGACTCTCTGGTTACATATGCATATGAGGGAGAGGGTTCGGTGGCAGAGTCCCTCAGTTCCATTGAGTCTTGGGTTCTCGAACCCAAGGAGGATTACAGAAATCTCTGTGACTGGGGTCCTCGTTTCAAAACGCTGGCTGGGATATTTAAAGAGAATGAGTGTAAGGCCATGGAGAAGGTGGAAAATGAAGCACATGCTGAGGCACTAAAGGACAGACTGGACTGAGAGCATTTTAAGGCGCTCTGTGACAAACACAACATTTATTTATTTCAGGCATGGCACTTAAAGGGATTGTCCACCCTAAAATGAAAATTGTCATCGTTTACTTATTCTCATGTCGTTCCAAACCTGTATGACTTACTTTCTTCTGTGTAAAGTTGCAGTCACATTCGGGGGAAAAAAATCGGCTTAATTTCACAACAGCGAGAATTTGTCAGTAGTGTAGCAATGTATGAAGTACAGTCCACACAGAAGTCACTTTCAAACTGTGAAAGACAATGAAAGTCAGAAAAAGTTTAAAAAAAACTTTCTGCCGCAGAAGAAAATCAGTCAAACAGGTTTGGAATGCCATGAGGGTGAGAAAATGTTGGCAAAATATTAATTTTGGGGTGAGTTGATCCTTTAAATGAAGACGACGTGGCTTGGGAAAGACACCTTGACAAGGCTGGCTATGTGCCTTTCCTATACCTCATGCATATTTTACACTCTTCTGTTCATTATTTAGGAAAGAAAAACGTGGAACTGTAATTTTTCCGATTGCATTTTAATGTCTGTTTTATACTTCTCTAAGTCAAAGAACCAAAAAAAAACCTCTTTGATATAAAAAGTGCCTCATTAACAGTTTTATTTATCTTTCAACTGTTGACAGTGTTTTTGCAATGATTCAAGCAAGGGAAGTCTATAAGCTCTGTGTACATGGACTAAGAGGAGGGGGAAAAATAGGATAAACATCACATTAAAAAAAGCGTCACCCTGCTGGCTCTCCTTCCAAACATATTTACCAGCACTTAGCAGGAATTCTGTCAGGCCAATGCCCTGGACGTCAAAATCAGTACATCTCACAGATGCCTCATGAACACATCTGTTTAGATCGCCCTCACAAACTGCCCCAGACTGTGCTGCTTGCTTCCATGGTGAACAAGCCCCTCCAACCCTCTCCATACTGTCCTACGGGCCTCTGTCACTAGTTTGATAGCCACAGGCTCTGTGTGCCTGCTGTCTTCCTGTCTAACTGTTGTGGTGGCGCTCTGACATCACCCTACAGCGATTCATCAGAGCTGTGGCTTACTCTAAGGGCAGCTGATTCCAGTGATTCTGTATTGGCCAACCGAATTTTGATTTACTTTTTATTTTTATTTTATCAGTCTCTCTGATAGAGGAGCTAATGAGACCTCTTTGTCAAAAGTTATCAAAAGAGAATTTGAAAGAATCTCTTATTTATTATTGAATATATTGTATAAACTTGTCTATAACAAACTCGAATGGAAACTTTGGAAAATAAAGTTATTATATTTGTGATAAATGCTCTTTGCCTTTTCCCCTCTTGGTTCAGATTCGAGTTAGGCCTGTTACATACCGCAGGCCTACGCGTATTTTTATATCAATTATATAGATTTACTGTATATTTCGTTTCATTTTTATGTTTATTATAATAAAACATTTATTTAATTGTGGGTTGGTAAACATTTTAATGTTTTTTTTTTATTCTCACCATGGCAGCAATTATTTGCTCAAAAATATAGGAAAATACAGTAATATTATGAAATAATAATAATAACTTTTCTATTTTAAAATTATTTTAAAATATAGTGCCCCCTGGGTAGTGATGGCAGTAACTAAGGTTTTTAAAATGTCCAATCAATTTTAGTAATTATTTTGTAAAATGATTCACTGTTTCGAAGTGCTTGAAATGCCACACTCTGCGTACCGGCCCCCCTTCGGTATACCTCTTATTGGTATGGTTGAATTGGATCGTCGTAGGTCAGCAGCAAAGACATTGGTTAATAAAGTGAGATTTAATACATAAAGTATATTTGTATTATAACATATTTAATTATTGAAGGTTTGTGTAATATTTTCATTTCTGTTTTTATTTATTTTGAAGAATACTTAATCTGTTTTTGTGCAAGTGAGAGTAAATGTATGTTCACATTTAAGAACTACAATAACCATCATGTTCACACAGAGCACACAACGCCTCTGTACCTTCAATTTCTCTCAACAAGTGAACAGGAGAGCTGTCAGTCCATAAATGGGAAAACAAAGTAGCTTGCTTTACTTATTTGAAAAAGTAACTCAGATATTTAAAAGTTATATATATTAAAAGTAATGTGTTACTTTACTCATTACTTAAAAAAATAATAAGATTTGTAACCTGCGTATTGGAAACTATTACAAACATATGAATCATATTATATGTGGAACCTAAACCTCAAAGTTATGATAAACTGGTTACATTTTCTGGATTCAGTCAGACTTAAAGGGCACCTATTATGCAAAATTCACTTTTACATGCGTTTGAACATAAATGTGTAATGGAAGTGTGTGTACACAACCACCCTATAATGATAAAAATCCACCCAGTGCTTTTTTTTTTTTTTTTAATCCCCATAAAACATATGCACTATCTCAGAACAAGCCGTTCTCAGATTGGGGCAATGTAACTACTTTTGCACATACCCCACCAGCTCATTTGCATTTAAAGGGATACACACTAAAATGGCGCGTTTTTCTGAGCCCCAAAAAGTGACAATTTAAACATGCTGTAAAAAATTATCTGTTGGGTATTTTGAGCTAAAACTTCACATACACACTCTGGGGACATCAGAGACGTATTTTACTTCTTGTGAATATAGGGGCATAATAGGTGCCCTTTAAAGGCTGCCTGTGTGTCTTTAAAAGTGTTTTTAAATCATCTTAAATCCAGCCCAACAGATTTTTTGGGTAAACAATGGGTAATTGTTCACGCTATAATTTCAGGTTTGGGTGGATAAACAGGTTTACAATTAATTTTATTTTTTTAGTATGCTTCATATGGCATAGGCTCAGTGCTAAAACTCGGTATGAATATAAACTGTTAATTTGGTGCTGAAATAAATGTGTTGCTTACACATGTGGTGTGAAACAGGCCTGACAAACAATGTTTTGCCAATTTTGCTTACTGTTTCATTGTCAATTTCAACTGTTACAAATACTGAACTCACCAATATGAGTTAATAAATAGAATAAAAACATGGACTTATTCATAACCTGCATGAAGACACAAAAAAACAAGGAAATTACTTTTTTTCTTCTGGTTGCACGTGCATTTTTCTCTTCCTGTGTATAATCAAGCTGTTGATCACAGACGGCGTATCCTTTATAAAAACATTTCCTCTTTTCAATTCCTTCCCTTTCCAGAAACTAAACAAAAACCAAAAAACACCTTCTGTGCTCTCTCACAGTCGAAAGAGGGCATCTTACTCTTACAATACTTACTAAGTATTGAGAAAGATGACTTGCCTTCAGTTTTAGAACCTGTTAATGCACATAGAAATGTCAAGTAGATTCTAAATGTCAAGTTCTATAAGTCTGAGCCAGATAAAGCTGAACTTTAATAATAATGCTGTAAAGTTATGCAATTAACACAGTAAAACAAGGATGATTTTAGCTTTTGACAGGTCTTGCTCCACGAAAGTTATGATTAATTGTCTCGTATCAACATCTTTTTGAATTGTCCCTCTACTAATGTATTTGTCACGGGGTGGTTCAGGAAGGACAGAAGAAGGAATAAATCCAAAACGAGTTTTATTCTCAAGACAGGCAAACGGGTGTAACAGCGTGTCAAACACAAACAATACCGGACACTGAACTGAAGACAGGCAGGAACTAAATACACAGAGATGATTGATACAAATGACAGGCAGCTGTGAGGGAGGTAATCAGTGTCCATGGATACAGATTGGTGGCGGGAAACTCAGACAGGGGAACACACGTGGAAATCAAAACAAACTGAAAGTCCAAAGAGCCTAATGGTGACAGTATTATTGTCTTAATATTTTGTAAATTATTCATTTTCTAGCACTAACCACTAATTAACAAAAATAATACCCAACAAATAATTGTAATATATATATATATATATATATATATATATATATATATATATATAAATTAAGTACAGGCCATACATCTCTTAATATTTTAGTATTTTTTTCTTGTTTTACATTTATAACATCATCATAAAAAGAGATAGATTTTACTTTAATTACCTAAATAAGAAGTTTATTCTTCTCTACCCATTTGCAACTAGGTTTGTTTTCTTTGTTTTAAGTTTTAAAACTTTTGTGACTTTAAACAACTGGAGAAAAGTAAATATATATATACATATTTATTTTTGTATTTTATTATTTATTCCCCCCAGAAAATTTGACACTTGACAGTGTCCTTGCCTCACCTGCCAAATGACTTATCCTTCATAAAACTCATAGATGCAGTCGCCTTAGACTTCAAAGGATTTCACTTTTTTTGTACTATATGCAGTCAAAGACATTGCACAGACTCAAAAAGAAATCCCTTATGTTCAATTCCATATAGCACCAAAACCACATCAAACATGTAAACACCATCTGGCGCTTCTTATTAACCCTCTGGGGACTGCGCCCTTTTTGGTCCGTTTTCTCTATTTTTACATTTGGGCTTGTAAACCATATGTAATGGAGATGGATCACTATGTGTTTGGTATCTATGGATTCAGAAGACCCTAAGATAACATAAGCATGCATGTAATGTGTTTATAAAGGAAGTATGAGTGAAAAATGTACTATAAACTAGAGAATTTCAAAAACGGAAATTAGATTTTTCTCATTTATTTCTGAAAATCACACAAAAATAGTGAACAGTTTTTGAACAAAAAATATATTTGTCAAAGCCTTTGCTTGACAGACATGTGTAATTGTTAAATAAAATGTGTAAAGAACAATGAAAAATGTAACTTTATTTACAAATAGTCCCAGGCGTTTTTCTTAGGAATGCTTAGAATTTTCTAAGCAATGCTTTCTCCTCGTCACTCTCCAGTAATTGTTCCAGAGCTTGTTCCACCGTAAATCTTTACTGCTTGCCATCATAAAAGTGCTAAAACAATAAATAATGCTATAATTGTATGTATGTGTATATATATATATTATAATTGTTCTGTCTCTCTCTCTCTCATATAAATCTCTGATAATCCGCTCCGTAAACCTCCGTTCGCTCTCTCTCCTTCTCTCCATTCAACGCTGTTTGCGGCATATCCCTAATTATCCACCTTTTTCCTGGTTAGCGAATTTACCCATGATTCATAGCGGGTTTGAACCGGAAGCCGGTTGTCCTTTTCCGGTTCGAAGCTTTATGAAGATTAAGCGCCGCTCGCTCAGAACGCCGCAGTGATGTGCTGGTTAGAAAATATGTTAAATAAGTAGGGCTGCCCCTGCCCGTGCACGACGGAAGTTGGGTTGGAAGTTA